TAGTCTACCCAGGCACCGTCACAGGTTTGTTATTCTCCGAGCTAAATGCAGTCTTTGCAGCCAAGCACTTTATTTTCTTTATTTCTCCCATCTTCCTGAAACTGGGAAAGGAGGAAAACGATCCTACGCTAAATGATCGGACTACGAAGAGATAATGTTCTCTGGTATCTGGCCTACTTAAGTTCTTAATGTGTGTGGTTTTTTAGCCGGCAAAGATGAAAACTTTTCCCAAGTGCGACCTATGCCTAACGCATATAACTTACCTCACAGGTATACTCTCCCCCATGTATGGCTCCTGTCTTAGCACTTCCATGATTCTGTCCTGTAGGGCTTGAATGTGATCAATGTGTTTATCTTGCTTGAAAACCTTTTTGATCTTTCTTTGAAAAGATCTTGCAGTGTTGTCAATGCTGAAGATAGGCCGCACCACATGTCCTTCATAGTCCTTACCAGCAATTGCCCTCTGTATTTGTGATTTCATTGTTGCAATGTCTTCAAATGGTTTGTCTGCATGGGTGCCTACAATGATCACTGGGGGCCGCAGATGAGGCAGCTTTTCTTCTGCATCGTCACAAGTTTCTCCTCTCATCTGTGTGATGCTATGTACTGTGGACAGCCAAGATAGCAGATTCTCCAAGTTCGTTTCACTATTTGGGTTGTCCAGTTTAATATTATTATTTCCTTGTCTCACGCAGGGTTGGGCAATGTCATGCAGTGACTTGCTGAGGTTGCAGACCAAGATATATATCGCACGTGATGTTAAAAATACAGGATGAGATGCATAATACAGCTCTTGCCCAGCAAAATCCCACACTTCAACACTGACAACAGATTCTACTTTAACACCTTCACCCGTAACACCGTGCACATAGTTCATCAACTCAATGGTCTGCTCCTTGATTTCATCTGGAGGTGAAGCAGTATCAATCATTGACTCATGATCAAGCTCTACTGAATTGAGTTCAATAACACTGTGTACTTTTGGATCAAGAACCTGTAAAAAAGGTAACAAAAAAAGAAGAAAGAAAGAATATTAAACTGCTGATTCTCGTGAATGCTTTAAGGCAATTTAATAAAATTTATTCATTAATTTATATTAGTTATTAAAGGTTTAGCTTTGGGGGCATTGTTATAACTTTTCATATAATGGGTATCATTCAAATGTTTTTGAAGACTCAGCCATGATTTTGGTAGTTTGTGTTTCGAATTTGTTGGGCATCCGGATCATTGATGGCTGTCACCTGCCGGAATTGAAATCTTCAAAGTCCTCTAAGTTATGGAACCTCATTTTCCACTCTTCATTTATAGCCTGTGCGCTTTGCGCTTGGGCCTTAATTAATCCGAGCACAAAACACTTGGTTCGTAACTTACAGTGAGGACCTTGCACTCGTCTAGTAAGAGGTATACATTTGCTTGAAGACTTTCTGAGTGTGAACAATAAATCACTGTTCTTTTCTTTCTTAATATAGTTAATTCACTGTTAATTAGCAGAGCCTACTTTCTGTAATAGGTTTTTTAAGAATGGAAAGTTAAAGAAACATACATCTTTATCCGTCACCTCATCCACCTAAAGGGCATGAAAGACTTAGCTTACACGCTTCACATCCAGGAATTCACACTTTTAGCAACACATTACAATAATAATTAGGAGAAACAAAACAAACTGTTTCACCATCTAGATTAATTACTTTTTTTTCTCTACCGTCTGGTATGTGGAGTACCTCCAGGATCCATCCATTCTTGGTCCCCTGTTGTTTTTGCTATATATAGATCCCGGGGGGGGGACTCCCATATAAAACAGACGGGGATGCTCGTCGTCTCGCTTAGGGGTGTAAATTTTGGATTTTGGTCTCGCTTAGGGTGTTGCGGGCAAAGCGCTAATATTTTAAGCCGCCAAGGTCTCGTTTAGGGTTCTGCGAAGAACTTGAGATTTATGACAATGCTTTTAAAAACTACTTTTAGATAACAGCATTCGATGATTATGTCTTTACATCATTATAACTCATTGCATGTTGTATTTGTGTGTTTTTAAGCGGTCTCTTTTAGGGGTCAAAATTTGCTTAAGCCACGCCCAGATTGGTCTCCTTTAGGGGTCACAAAAAGCTTGAGCCACGCCCAGATGGTCTCCTTTAGGGGTTAAATTCAAAATTTCCGACGAGCATCCCCGTCTGTTTCATATGGGAGTCCCCCCGGGATATAGATGATTTACCGAACACCTCGAAACTGCTTAGTTTTCACTTATTTGCTGATGACACTAATATATATTGTTCACGTCAAAACCTTAATGATCTTGAACTAATCCTAAATCAAGAGCTCCATGCAGTGGCTGAGTGGATGAAATCTAATAGACTAGCTCTCAGTATTTTGAAAACTAATTTTGTTCTTTTTCATTCTAAGAGACTTGAACCATACAAGTCATTAAATTTAAAAACTGATGGTGTGAACATCCAAGAAGTTTCCACGGTCAAATACTTAGGTGTCACTTTTGAATCAAACTTGACTTGGAAAAATCATGTTAATGAACTCTGCTTAAAACTATTGAAAACTGTAGGCATATTTTCCAAATTAAGGTACTATGTTAATGTTAATATACTTATTATGCTTTACTATTCCCTAATTTACCCCTTTGTTACTTATGGTATTCAAGTTTGGGGTCTCACAAAAAACCAGTAACTACTTTGCAAAAACGAGTGGTTAGAATAATGACTTTTTCCGACCCTAGATCTCATTCTGGGCCATTGCTGAAGTCTCTCAGACTCCCAAAATTCTCTGATATAATATTATTCATCTTGAAATTCTCTCTTTTGTTTATCAGTGGTATCATAAACTAAGCTCTTCCTGTTTTGTTAATTATTTTAACCCAGTATATTCAACTCATTCATATAATACACATCAATCACAGATTAATAATCTGTTTGTTAAATCTGTTCATACTACTCAATACGGCATTCGTTCTCTCAGTTATACCGGTCCAAAACTTTGGAATTCTTTATCTATTGATGTTAAGAAAATCAAGCCGTTTTCCAGTTTTCGTCAATATATCAAGAATTCTGTGATTGATGGTTATAATACTATTATTGATTCCTAATGTTTTATGATTATATTATCTTTAACTACTACTTAATTAATGAAGTAATACTTTTCATCTAATGAAAACAACTATTTTGTATCTATTTTCCTTCTACTCATATTCTTGTTTGGGTCATCTACTCAGTTAGTTCCACGAACTATTTAGGTGTCCCAAACTCTGCACAATGAACCTACAAATTATTGAAAATTTCTTTTCCTTCACAATCTTTCGATTTTATATTTTAAAGCACTAATTTGTATTAATTATTATTCTGTGTGTTGTATAACCTGCTGTTGTAAATGAGATCTGATACTAAATGAATACACCCTATATATGAGGATTCAACTGGGCCCAAACCTGGTTCACTAATAAATCTTCTTCTTTTTCACCAGCAGGGTCAGCAATATTCTGTTCCCCATTCTTGTGACCATCTCCTATATGGTCGCTGTCATATTTTACTTCACCTTCTTTCTCCTCCTGAATCCAATTATGGCCACTGGGAACACACAGCTCTTTCACAATCATCTCTGCCACATCTTGAGAACATCCCAACAAACCAAGTTTGCTCTCATCAATGGGTTGCCAATTCTCAGCTTTATCAACATCCACCTGAAAAATTGAAGAATCCACTTCAATTCCCTCAGTACTTTTTTCTTTTGGATTAAATGGTAGACCAACGAGAGATTTCTTCAAACTTGTTTTTCCTGCCCGGTCCTGACCAATCAGCAATATTCGCCCACGGTAAACATTGACAGCTCCATCTCTAAGAGCACTTCTATAAGCAAGCTGTGCCCTTTCTCCTCGTGCATCAATTTCTGTAGGGGCTGGAGAAAATGAAAATTTACGTTTGCTTAATTCTACCCCAAACATTGCCTTCCACGCGGGCATTTTTAGGGGAGTCAAATTTCTTCCCTCCCCACAAATGGTGAGGGAGGAAATATGACTCCCCAAAAAATGCCTGCATGGGAGGCTACCCCAAATATTGTTTATCATTGGCAGTATACATGACCTGCTGAACAGGTTTTCAACATTTATCTCTATTCCTTGCAAATTTAAATGTGATGCTCAGGAGTATTATTTTGTTTGTCACGTAAATGTGTCATGTACAATAATATTTCTTCCCAGCTAAAGTTAATTTCCATAACAAGTATGTGAGCAGAGGCTGCGCCTGGGGGGTGGGGGATGCACTCATAGGAAGTATGGGTGGAGGTGTTGCCACCGAGGCCTTTAAATCCTTACCCTGTTAAGACAAAAATCATTCACTTCACTACCCTGTTTAAGAAAAGAGACCTTACTTTATGACTGTGATTCTTTTTTTTTTTTTGCATACAGAATTAGGTAATTTTTTAAACTAACATCATGGTATTACAGGTTTTTTCGGAAAAAATTGTTGGTACCACAAATGTAGACCAGTCTCACCACTAACTTTCACATTCTCTTTAAGGCTTATGGTCCAAACAGATACCCTCTTCAAGATGCTAAACAGTGAAATTGTGTACCTTGGTTAAGACTCAAGACCCAGAAAACCACACCCTGTTTAGTGGCACTTACCCATTTAGGCCAAATAAGGATATGCCCATACAGAAAAACAAAAACTGGACGGCTGTGACATAGCCCCATTAACAGGTTTGTAATTGAGTACCTAGTAAATACAGAGATTCCAACGGTTCCGTTTTGGCCGGAAACCTCCCATTTTAAACATTTCCGGCCTCCCATTTTCACTTAATATTCTCCTGGTTTTTAAAACTCTTCCAGTCTTTTCAGCACAATTCTTAGCTGTTTTTCTAGGGTTTCTCAGCCATTTTTACCCTTATGGCATCCGAGCATGAGCCTGCGATACTTTTGGGTCTGGTAATTGGATTGCCTCGACTTTGTGCCAGGTTTTCATTCATAATTTGTGGTCTCAAAATGCAGGAAAACGCACCCTAGAGGCACATATCTTTAAATTTTTCCTGGGAGAGCATGCCCCCAGACCCCCCTGGAGGCTCGCGCCTTTGGCAATCGTGGTTGGTCCGTACTGCTGTAAGTTACAGACCACATTTTTCCACTTGATTTATGACCCACACACAGAGTGCACAGAACGTACCAACAGGAAAAAAGGAGGGTCTGTAATTTACAGTACAGACAAAGAAACTCAGTTTAGTAACTAAATAACAATAAATTCACCAAAGTGGAGGTGGCTAGTGGTGGTATATTAACTGAGACACCTGGTAAATAACCACCACTAGCCACTGACACTGAAGTGAATTAAATTGTTTTAGTATGTACTAAAACAGTGACATAATTGAGCACAAAAATGATGATTTTTTAACTCATTTACTGTTGCCAACGATTATAATTTTGGCACGCAATGACCAAACAGCCGTGGTCGTCACTTTTTCTTGCGGACAAATGACACTTCTGAAGGCATTTGCTTAGCTCTTGCGGGGAAATTTCTTCAAAAGGAGTTGTGAATTCTTTTTGTATTTAAAATCATTCTGTAAAAAAGATCATTAAATTTAGTTTTAAGCTTACTTATGGACAAGTCAACTAAATAAGGTAACACAAGACTTAAGCTTAATTATTTTGTATTTGTAAACAGAAAACTTTTTTACCGGTTTTATCAATAAATTCAAGTCAAAAAGACAAAGCTTTACCTGTTAAAACTCCCAAACCGAACTTCGTCACCTTCTTCGTGTATTTTGGGAACAGCTTGCTTGATTAGTTGTGAAATTTCTTTGTTTGTTACGGCAGCAAACAGGGAAGGCATTTTGCTTGCAATTTATGCGAGTTTGGCATCGCTCGCTCGGAGCAAATGGAGGTGAATCAGTGAATAGTGCAGGCTAGGCCGGGGGGGCACTGCCATATATGGGCTATATAGGTATGTGCCGCTGTGAAGGGTATGGTTCTCAAGCAGTTTACTCTAGCATAGGGTATATAAATCAGTGAGTTTGGGTGTAGAATAGGTTATCATTTTTCAGGAAATTGATCAGTTGGTTGAAGATTTTACCTTGACTAGAGAAACAGCTACTCTAGGATAGGGGGAATTTGGGGAGTTTACTCTAGTATAGGGTAGCAAAACTCAGCTCAACTAGCTCTGGTATAGGTTAAAGGTTCCAGGGTCCCAGTGGCACATCCCCACCCAGAAATTCCTAAAGGACCCCGGGAGGCTAGGTTATTCACTGATTGAGTAGCCAGAGCACGTGAAAACTCAGAGCACGTGAAAACTATCCACTGTTTTAGTATGTACTAAAGAAATTTATTATATATCTCTGAGGTTAACTGGGCACGTAGGAAAGGAAACTTTCAAATTTAGCAGTAAATTAATACATGTACATGTACAACCCATGAAATTCACCAATCAGAGTGCATATACAGACTGAGACTTCATAATTTAAAAATTATCTATGGCTTTGACAAACAATCAAATCAATCAAAAATTTTGAGCTGTTCATTTATTAATGAAGATTCTTACCTCTAATATCTATGTACATTCCACGCCTTCCTCGCCATCTTAATTTCAGAATAGTTCTTAATGCATCAACATTTAAAGGATTACCACTAACCCGCAGGTTCTTCAGATTTACCAGCTGTCCAACATTAACTGTAGGAAAGTCAGATAATCTGTTACCAGACACGTTCAGCTTGGAAAGCCAGTTCAGCCTCAAAATACTGCTCGGTAAACAAACTAACTGGTTGTTGCTCACACTCAGCTCCCTCAGCTCCTTCAGGTCACCAATGTCATCAGGTAAATGGGTTACACGATTATGATCCAAGTTGAGGCTTCTAAGATTTTTTAACTTGCAAATACTTTTTGGTAATTCTGTCAGGTTATTTTCATTCAGCAGAAGTACTCCCAGTTCACTCAGTTCAGTGACTGCATCAGGTACCTTGGAAAGTCTTTTTCTCCTCAGATCTAAAACAGCTTCTCCTAATTGATACTCAATACAAGCTTTCAGTTCCTCATAAGAATGTTCCATTTTTTAAATTCAAGAGCTCCTGTCCCTTGTGACTAAGAAAGCCTAGAATCATTCAAACATAGATAAAATAATCAATATGATTAATTCCAGGGTCAAGATTTTTTTTTTAACTTCACCCCGCCCTCCTTATCACACACAGTATGAGGTTGCAGCAGGTACAAAAATCAGGTCACAGGTCATGATCACAAGTAAACAACTTTGCGAATGATAGCAAAAAAAAACCCCAAAACTTACAAGGTTCCTTTCTGGCTGTTCATTTTTCTACACATTTTGTCAGTTTCTTCAGGTTGATTATTATTTAAGGGCTGAAAACTTCACTAACACATGCCAACGCGCTGGGTTTCGTGAACATCGATTGCAGAAAGTAATAGCCAGGTAGCCGGGCCTTGTGAAGGTAGAGCAAGAAATGGGAACAAAAGTACTCTCGTCTCATCGCAGTTTTCATGAGTTACTACCCCCAATAAACACCGATAAAACATCCCCCGGGGGTTACTCCCATATATGGGCTATATAGGTACCTGCCGCGGAATAGGGTATGGTTTTTGAGGTTCTCGGTCCTTAAATAGGGTATCTTTTTTGACCCTTTTGTTTCTGTGTCCCTGGTGTGGTCCTTAGATAGGGTAGCTTAATTGTTTTATCTAATACTGCAAAGTGAAAATGCCCGCCTAAACGAACGGTTTCTTTTAAACTTGATGTATCTGTCTAAGTATTCTAGTATTTTATGCTTGATGCTATACATCCAATGTTACAGAAAAGAAATTGAGTTTTCCTTTCCATGCTATGAATAATTTTGTTCTTTCCTTGAATAGGGTGTCATTTTTCCGCTTTGGGCCTTAAGGGTACCAGTTTTCGCTTTCTTAGTCCTTAAATAGGGTTAGGGTTCATGAACCTTCGCGGCACACCCCTATCCAAAATTCGCGGGAGTATCCCCCGGTAAAACATGAAACCTATTACAAATGTGTTTCCTGTACGTGAAGGCAGCGAAAAGGGATACTCGGTGAACAGAAGTAAAAGCACTTTAATGTTGGTCGGACGAAAACGAGACGAAGACAAGACTTCAGTTATGTCCGCCATTTTACTTGGTTACGAAGACACATCGTTTTTCTGGAGATTGTAGCGCTAGTGAACTCAAAGAAAAACAGAAACATTAAAGCTAATGATGTTAACCTCATCTGAATGGTCAGGAGTACCGACTTTTGTTTCAAAATAACGTACGTAGGTATGTTTTTGTGCTTCAGATCGAGCGTACATTGCTTTCAATGTTTTGTACGTGGTTTGTCACCCTTTGGAAAAAAGTTTCCCGTCAACCCCCCCTACCCCACAGAAATTACTACCTTTAAACCCCCCTCCCCCTTGGAATTTCCAATGATCTTCCGTGGGGGTTGGGGGGGGGGTATGGATATTTTCTGGAACTACACATTATTATTTAGCTGGTTCTGAAACCCTCAAACCAAGACGTGCAGTGCTTCACATAATAATGTATCGTATCTGCTCTAAAAGAAAGATGCAGAAAGAAAAAGAAGGATTCGGTAAGTTTCAAGTCATCACAGGCCCACTAGTACCTTCAACAGTTCCAACCAATGACGAAAAATAAATATTTGCTAACTTTAAAACAATGCTTGTGTAAAAAAGCTAAAAAGTGTCATAAATGTTTTATGCGCATTTAGAGCAATAATTCATTGAAAAGAAAAATTTTATGACTGTTTGAAAAAAAGGACAAAGATGACTGCGGCGGGTGGAATAACCAGGGTGACTGGCATGACTGAGATGACTAGGAAAACTTTGGTGAGTGGGATGACTGGAATGACTAGGATGGCTGGGATGACTTAGGTGATCATGACCAGGATGACTAGCATGACTGGGAATGACTAGGATTACTGGAATGACTGGGGTAACTAGGGTGCCCGGGATGACTGGAATGACTAGCATAGCTAGGATGACTAGGATGACTGGAATGACTTGGATGACTAGGCTGACTTGGGTGACTGGCACGACTGGGATGACTTGGATGACTAGGGTGACTGGCATGACTTGGGTGACCGGGATGACTAAGACGATTTGAGTGACTAAAATGACTAGCATGACTAGGATGAATAGGATGACTAGGACTACTGGGAAGACTAGGATAACTGGGATGACTGGAATGACTGGAATGACTAAGATAACTAGGATGACTGAGATGACGGGAAAGACAGGGATGACTTGGATAACTAGGGTAAGTGGGGTGACCACCTGTCTAGCTTGACTAGGATGACTGGGATGACTAGGGTGCATGGGAAAACTTGGATGACTGGGATAAATAAGATAACTAAGACGACTGGGAAGACTGGGATGGCTGGTATGACTTGAGTGACTGGGGTGACTCATGTGGCTAAGGTGACTAGGTTGACTAGGATGACTTGTATGACTACGACGACTGGGATGACCAGGTTGACTAGGGTGACTGGGAAAAACTCAGAACTAGAATTCCACATACTTGGCACGGAAACTATTGATATTGTACATGAATACAGATATTTAGGAACCCAAATTTCATCAACTGGATGGGAGGAGCTATTTGTATGCACATGCACTCCTCAAAAAGTCAAGGTCCAAAAATAAATAGCAGTAAACTAAGAAATATAAAGATTAATAATAGAGAAGAGCAAAGAAATAAAAGAAATTATTTTTAAAAAAACACAGTTTGCCTTAATTCACTTAACACTTGTTTCTTTGAAATAATTCTACAATTTGTTGCTGGCAAAGAACCACATGCATTTTTTTCTTCTATTAAAGGGAAACAAGGATCTGCTTTATAATATGGTTTAACAACTTTTAAATAGAATTCTAATCCTCGGTCTTAAAACTTCAGCCCCCATCACACTTTGCACATTTTCAAAATTGACCCCCCCAAACCCCCTCCGAAACCCCAGGAACGTAATACCGTAAACTTCCAAGCTTCGCTCCTAAGGATTCTACTGAAAAAAATTAAGGGCGTTAAATGCACTAGAAGACCTAGAACCACCTTTTCAAATTTTCTATACATTTGTCTGTAAGAAAGTCCCGGGAAAATTACAGACAAATATGTGGAAAATCTAAAGCAAGCCTCTGGAGAAATTTAAGCACAGGTACGCCCCCAAAATTGTTTAGGACAATCCTTTGCGTTGTAGCTTTAGTTTACAAGTCACATTTTTTTCAGAACAGCCGTTTTATGGAAATTATTCGACATTAGATTCTCAAACAAACACTGTAATTTCTCACACGTTTGCCTCCTCGTCAAGATGGCGTCAAAAAGTGTGACAAGGTCTCTTGAAATGAATTCGATTTTTTACGACGTTTTGAAGCTTAAAAAGGCGAGTAAATTCAAAAAGTATTTTGATCATGAGAAGACACACAGGGCTTGCACTGTAAGTATCCCGGAGAGCTCCATACAGTTCCTTATAATTTTGTTATAAGGAATTGTATGGAGCTTTCGAGGAGACTTTTCTTAATTAGCTTAGGCGCGGCGGATTTTGTCACGTATGATCGGCGCGAGGTGTTTCTCTCGACACCCTTCTGTCAGGAAAATGTCATCATATGAAAGCAAACCAGACACGATCACGTCGGCAGGCCGAAGCCGGCAAAAATAAAAGGCTTTTCTTCTTCCATTTCAGAGGTCAGTTTTGTTTCGATCTGGTCAAAAATCAGGTTTTTAGGTTGTAGGTAATAAAATATAGTCTTATTCTGTTCTCAAGGACCTTTAGAAAACGAGACAAACGAGATAATTGACTAGAGAAAGAAGCGTGAAAACTCTTTTTTGGAAGAAAATATTTTTTAATTTCCGCAGCGATTTTGCGAAATCGCGAAGCGCAATATATTCAGTTTCTTCCAAAGCCGTCATGATTAAGCAGTGTAATGCCATCACAACTAACAATGAATTTAGTTTGTATGGCAAAAGCCGTGAAAATAGAGCTGAAAAAAAAGAATGGATAGGAAAAATTAATAAAATCACCAAGAAACCGTCTCGCGGGAGCTTTGTCAAACAAACCGTTGGTACGGTTTACTTACCTAACCTGGAAAAGGAGACGTTTGCACGCAGAATACATTTCATCCTACATGTAGTTGTGATTTCCAGAACGGGCCTTGGGAGCCTCATTGCCGTAATATCTTCTACATTACAGAAACCACAGCAGAATCGCCCTGCTCGCATGCTAACTTTCCGCTCCAATATTATGACTATACAGTACCAGTGAATTGTTTCAAAATTTAAAGCGGCCGAAACTTATTTCCATCAGCGCGTAGTTAGTTAGTTAAGCAATAATAATGCACAGCACTGTAAATAACACGGTTCTAGAATATCTGACGGCTTCGCGTTTTGTTCGTCGCCGCATGCGATTTAATCGCTTATAACCTAACAGAAAATGTAAATGTACCTGAAGGAAATACCGTGTATTACCTTACCTTGACGCTGTGATGTGTGTACATTTGTCTTTTGCTATGGTTTTAGACAATACGACTTCTCCTGACTATCAATTGTGCGTCAAAACAAGCGCGATAATGATATAGTCAAAGTGCCATGGTGTAGCACTTTATGACAAAGTTTTAACTGGAAAACTTGTTACCATCTGATGTACACCTGTATAGTCTATGTTTGTAAGCTCTGCCTAAAGAATCACTGCGTTACACTGCACCCATGGGTGTGCCACCTAAAGTGCAGCCTATGTTTGTTAGCTCTACCTAAAGAATCACTTGGTTACACTGCACCCATGGGTGTGCCACCTAAAGTGCAGTCTATGTTTGTTAGCTCTTCCTAAGGAATCACTGGGTTACACTGCACCCATGGGTGTGCCACCTAAAGTGCAGCCTATGTTTGTTAGCTCTACCTAAAGAATCACTGCATTACACTGCACCCATGGGTATGCCACTTAAACTGCAGCCTATGTTTGTTAGCTCTACCTAAAGAATCACTGGGTTACACTGCACCCATGGGTGTGCCACCTAAAGTGCAGCCTATGTTTGTTAGCTCTACCTAAAGAATCACTGGGTTACACTGCACCCATGGGTGTGCCACCTAAAGTGCAGCCTATGTTTGTTAGCTCTTCCTAAAGAATCACTGCGTTACACTGCACCCATGGGTGTGGCACCTAAAGTGCAGCCTATGTTTGTTAGCTCTACCTAAAGAATCACTAGGTTACACTGCACCCATGGGTGTGCCACCTAAAGTGCAGCCTATGTTTGTTAGCTCTACCTAAGGAATCACTGGGTTACACTGCACCCATGGGTGTGCCACCTAAAGTGCAGCCTATGTTTGTTAGCTCTACCTAAAGAATCACTGGCTTACACTGTACTCACGGACGTTTGCCTCGTGCTCTCTTCAAAGACAAAAAAGCTATAGTCTGTTTGGCCAAAAATCAAGCTCTGTTTCCCCCAAAAATTTGACACCATATTAGGGCCCCGAAAGACGTTAAAAGTTCCTCCATAATAGAAGAGTGTTTTACTAGAGTTAACAAACGTTTGGCTTACATGAGTTTCAATATAAAGGTGCAAAAACTTATCAGCATAATTATAGCACACAAACATTGACATCAAACTCCTGGCATGTAGCCAGAATAAGCCAAGCAAATATGAATAAAGCATATAACAAGAAATATTCGTCAAATGGTCTCGTTAAGTAAATTATACTTCACTTTGCGAAAGAAATTGATCGCTTGTATCCGTGTTACGCATCGAAAAAGCGAGGAGTCATCGCATGACATCAGGTAACAGAGGTAATACTCACGAGTTTCACAAATTCCAATTCCACGATTTTTCGCCGAGTAACAAATTTAAAACTTCAATTCTTACCTTACAGTGGTCGGTTCATTTACCTTACATTTGCCAACACTAATAAACATGAACAAAACGATGAAATCCGGCACTCTTCTTTCAGAAGTAGCAAGCCGCATGAAGTAAAATCCACCGATATGCGCTGCATTCTCACTACAAATATGAACATTTGTCGTGAAGAAAATACGACGAGGAGGAAAAAATGCCAGATCGTCGCCTCGGCAATGTATTCCAGCTACCAAGCCGGCGTATCTCCAGAAGGTGGACTCGAAGTAGGACAAACCTTGTAATTTTTTTAGGAGCCCTTTGCGCGCAAACTAATTTATTCTGGCGCGAAATGAAGATTCAGAAAATGCATCTGAAATCTAATACACGACAAGAAAATTTTCGCACTTTCGAGGAGCGCGGCATATTAAATGGGATTAAGTCGGATTAGCTGCCCGCGGAGAAAACATCACTGCGTGGGATGGTACTTCCAGTAAAAAGCCTCTGTGTCCTCTCATGAGTACTGCTATGTAGCTTGTTTTGAAATGCTTTTTTTCAGTCTGCTTATAAGCATGCCTCTTACCCCGTAAGAAGTTGTATGAGTCCAGGGCATAAAAGAGGAAGTTTACAGCAAACGATCGATCGAGTGTGTCACTGATGATCTTATCACATTTTGACATCTTTTGGGATCTAAGCAGACGCACCGCAAAGTGGAATCTATTTCTTTAACACAATGAACAGAAAAGAGGTTTTAAAACTATGACTTGCCTCGAGCTTGCGTCGTGATTAGCGCATCACTCCTGTTTCTGTGCCAGACGTTTTACCAGTTTAGGCATTTTCCAAGTTACCAATGGTACTTTTCGTTTAGATTCCTCCTTCTTCTTACTAGTAAACAACTCCCGATACACTTTTTTCGAGGTCCTTACTTCCTCAATTCACAAAAAACTCGAGCAGGCAGGTGCAGGCACTTTCGAAAAACACGCACCACTTTGGATAACACGTCCGTGACGTCATCCGTATAGATCGTTCACTGTCACGCAACAAAAAAATAAATTAGCAACCGTCCAGTGGAAGAAGTCAAAAAAATGAAATGTTATAAAAGACTAATATATAAACAATTTGTCCAAGTCTCACGTCTTTGTGGCCCACAGTTTCTGAGATATTTGCCCAAACGTTTCGCGCACCTTTGTACCGACTGTACCGTTTTGATGCACCAATATGGCCGCCGGAACTCAACAAAAACATTAGCCTGCGTAGCAGGCGCTTGGAAGTAGTGGGCACAAAAAAACAACGGGCGCGCGAGAAGGAGACACGCGAGGGGAGAGGAAGCGCCTGCACGGAAAGCCCCCGAAAATCGTTTCCCGCCCCCTCTCTAATTACTTGGCAGCCGTTGCGTGATCTGTCAAAAGTTTTGACAGAAAACGACTGACCTTGCACAAACAAAGCAAGCCGCCAAAAAGCCCCGGGCAAAAAGCGTTGTACATTTTATCTTCGGTCTAAATATATCCGTTATAAAGATCAGCTGGGTTATCTGATTATAGAGCGATGGAGCAATAAACTGATGGTTAACACACAGCTTTAAATCGTTTTTTAACATGGGCACAATAGGAAATAACAAAGTCAAAACTGGGTATCTTTTAAAGAATACATGCTGTGTATTATAAAAACTAAAAATATTGTTCTGGTCAGATACCAACGATCACAGCGTACGTGGAAAATGACCATATTGTTTTTACTGCGGTAACTGGCAGCCGTTTTTGGAGCAGACATGTCTTACTAAGCGGACCTAAACCTCAGAACACAAACTGTACCGACATGTTTTCTACTGCAGTAATGAGACATAAACAACAGACCTCAGGTCGCCTCCGAACGGCGAATAATACTATAGTGAAATGTTTTTTTCAAATTCCTGCCCTTGGTAACTGTTTCATTTCATCAATCATGTCCACGTTTTGATGGTATACGTTCCATCGACAGCACAAGCCGCCAAATTCTCCTGAGCAAAGAATATTTCCTCTGATCTTCATTGCAACGATTCGACAAATCTTTTGTCTCTCGCCACTTCTGTTGATGCGTATCCGATGTCCATTCTTTCCATCGTGAATACCGTTTAAACACTCCAACTTTTCTTTGAGATTACAGCCACATAGTCCCATTAACCAGATTGAAGTGACCTCAGAGACCTGAACTTCGATTGTATACAATTTAGTGGTTTCAGGACCCAATGGTGTAATGCAAGATCTTCACTACGTTGTCCATGTACTATTGATTGACAGTTTTCTCGCCCCGCGCGGTTAATTTTTCCCTCGGGAGCCTCTCGACCAATTGGAAATATCCGCACTCACAGAGTGCGAGTTGAAACGATTTTCGGGGGCCTTCCGTGCAGGCGCTCCCTCACCCCTTGCGTGTCTCCCTCGCGCGCGCCCGTTCTCTCTTTCGCCCGCTACTTCCAAGCGCCTGCTACGCGGGCTACAAAAACATCTGGAGTTCACTTTTTCTATAAAAGCTCTTTCTTTTCTCTCAAGAACTAGCATACGTACGCATAAACATAGTACGGGAATGGAAACTTCTATAAAGATTTACTTTTTGTTTATCTTCAACCTAGTGTAAATAAGATTCCTGAAACCTCGCTAGCTAGTTTGACTTTACAATTTGATGACGTCACTGTGAAAACCAGTAGCTATCAAGTGATTTTTATCGATTGATAACGGAAATCGGTGAAAGTCGATAAACTAAATTACTGTGTCAAATCGATATTATCGATTTTTCATGATTTTATTGATTTATAACGGAAGTCCGCCATTGTTGTTTTTGGCATGAGTTACATAGTACAGCGGAGAAAACACATCCAGGAATATCAACTGCTCAACAGACATGAAAATGAGAAAACTAAGAAGTAAGAACTAAACTGGGGAAACTATCACACACACAAGTTTCTCTCTAAAACTCTTCATTTGGTACATAATAACAAAAATAGCCTGTTCACAGTCCCCTATTTTTTCGTGAGATCGTTTAGATATACCGCGTCTTACCGTCACGAGTATCTTGATTTTCAAATGTACCGAGGGGGCGGGCGTCTCTTTTCTTTTGACACTCATGCAAGATGGCAGCCCGTAACACAAAGCGTTCGATCTCGATGATCTTACGGAAAAATAGAGGACTGTGAACAGTCTATAACAAAAACGGTTCGGTTTTATAATTAAATTCAGTTCTCGCAGGCAAGTATCACGCGAAATACGACCTTAGTAAACTGATTTCCTAGCCTGAATTTCAGACATCCCCTCGAGTCGAAGGGATGTCTGAAATTCATTCAAAGATTTCCCTGGATAGATTTTCACCGTTTCCGTTATCAATCGATAAAAATCATTTCATTGCTAACGATTTTTATCGATTTCAATTTTTATCTATTGGCTACTCCGGGATTTAACTACAAACCAGAAGACGATTTTATACCTGGTTTTGAAGAAAAAATAAAATTTTTCAGATTTTTTTAAAAATATTTGTTTAAAAAGTGATAACCGTTTGATCCTTCGACTCTCAACTGCAACTCAGTTGTCAACAAATTTACTGTTTGCATGAAATCAGTCTTCATTTTTGAATGAACAGATAAACAGATATATCTTCCGATATAAATCGATGAAATCGGTAAAAATCAAGATAAATCGATAAACGAGACAAGTGTGTCATCGATTTCTACCGATTGATCCATACAATCGATATCAATCAAATCAGATTTACCGATTTTTATCGATTGACTACTCCGGGGGTGACACCAAACTGGGGTGATAGCAGTGATAGCATGACAACATGAAAGGAGGGAAAAGGGAGAGGGGATTGGGGAGAGAGGGAAAGGGGCTCTCCCGTTTTTTCTCCCCCTCCCCTCCCTTTTTTAGCACCTGCCACAGAGTCTAGCCCCTACGTGGACAACCTGCGCAGCCTTTCCTTGCCCGTCACAACCTCGTCCCCAGGGCGCTTTTCCCTGGCTTTGGAGGTACCTCTCTCCAACCAAAGCCAGAGAAAAGCGCCCTGGGGACGAGGTTGGTCTCATCACGCAATGTTCCTCCAAAGAGAAAGCATAGAAGACGAGCTTGTCGAGACGAAGAACCTTTTTACACTTGTTGCCTTGCGGCCTTTACGGACTGTATGCCATTTTTCAGTTCATACGATCCGTACTGATGGTAACATGAATTGTACGGACCGTTATAGTGCCGGAGTATTGGACAGCGCTCACGGGGCGAAAAAAAGGATGGCTGTAATCTGGATGGCTGTGATCCCGAGAAAATTAGTACCACGATTCCGAACGAGGAAGAAATAGCTGTAAAGCATTCCTGTTTGGACAGTCAGCTCAAAACTTCCGCCACTCTCTCTCTCCCTCAGTCTCTCTCCCCCCCTCTCTCTCTCTCTCTCTTTATGGACGTACCGGTCTATGCGCAAAGGGAATGAAACAGTTGATTTTATACTGATTGACAGCCAGTTGTAAGATATTGAATAGAGGCGCGTAGAAGAGTTTTCACTTAAACAGTTTCAGATGTCATCCGCACGTCATATGATCGGCGTTGTAGTGGGCGTTAACTGCTTGAAGTTTTTCCCAGCAAAGCGATAAAAAAAGAGTGTGTGAGCTAGGAAGTGGGCGTTGTGTGTCATCTCCCAGCCAAAAATAAATTAGGTAGAAAAAATCGCCGACAAGATATTATTCTTAGCTAATTCCCAGCCAATTTTTATCTAAGATGCCATAATTCCCAGCCAGCATCACGATGCCTGAGGAACGGCTTTTTTGAATATCGGCTCCACTGAGCACTCCTGATTGGTGATAAAGTCAGGATAAGTAATTACAAAAGAGAGGTGTTTGATAAATGTTGGCACACCTAATTGGACTGAAGAGATATTCCTGATTGATAAAATCCAATCCACAAATCCAATTACCCACAGGTTAAAGGATCTCAACAACGAGGAGATACAAGGGAGCTTTTACGAACCCGAATTACTAAAAGCAAATTAAACAAGATGTATTCCGTATTGATGAAGTCATTTGGAGAGATTACAAAAAGGAACAAGCTCTTGTGAAGTGGTTGGGATATAGCGACGACTTTAATTCTTGGATTCCTCTAAAGGATTTACAAAATTTATCTAAATAATAATATATACTATATACTATATTAATACTATATTACTGACAATGATAGAAAAGACATTCACTAATAATGAGTTGGAAATTGAGCTGACTTCATATATTGATAACAAACAAAATATCTGGTCCAAGGGAAAAGATATTGCCCTGATACTGGGATATGTTGATACAGATAAAGCTATAAGAAAACATATATGTTGATGCTGAGGACAAAAAAACAAGGTGGGGTTGGCAGCAAACATTTTTCGCAAATGAATCAGGTTTTTACTCATTAATGTTGTCTTCAAAGTTGGAATCAGCTAAAAAATTTAAACATTGGGTAACATCCAAACTACTACCGACTATTACAAAATATGGATATTATAAACTGTTTGATAACCCGAATAACCATATGTTTAAAACTGAAAATGAAACCGATCTTCACTGCAAAGTTGTGCAATACTGTACATTAGGCGATTGGGCGGAAATCAGGATACCGTATCCAAACGCATAAATTCATGGACAAGTTGAACAGATACAAATTTTGTTTTTGAATGATTACGACAAAATTATTTCCGTATTTATACTACTACATTACAAAATTGTGCAATTTGATTGGCTTATAGCAGTGGTATTTCAGTTTAATTTGAAATACCTGCATGTGAAAATTACAAACCTTTTGCGGGTAGTAGTATAACAAATAATAGCATTATTTGAACGTGATATTTGGCATAAATACCACTCGTGATATTTCACTTGTCTCAAAATTAACTCACCTAATGGCTCGTGAAATTTCGTATAACAATTTCGAAATATCACTCGTGGTATTTATGCCAAATATCACTACAAATCATGCTATTACCTATACTTATAACTACATGAGTGAAATTCGAATTCCTTGTTGTTACCGCCGTAACCAGTTTCTGTCGAATGATACGTATCAAATACATCTCCGGAGTTTTCACCGGATTTAAATTTAATTTTTTCCAACAGGGCTACCATATTACTAATACGAAAGCTCCAATAAAAAATTACTTACAATTTTCCAATCTCAAGTTATCAATCCTGTAATTTCTATCATTTCCATCAACATGATTAATCAGTGATTAATGTGATCACCTCTATTACCAATTCTACGATGGAAGCATTCTCACACAAAAACGCTATGAACATATATGTGACGCTTCCTATCACTAAAATTATGTATTAGATAACTCTTCATAGCACTTTTTTCCAGTATAAGTATCTCTTATGTTAACATTTTCATTGGCAGCGTATAATCTGTATGTTTTGAATGTATTCTGAAAATTCCGTGTGATTTGCGACTCAAATCAGTTTTATCTACTTTGTCTCGCATATCAAAACCAGATATAGTGCTATTATTTGCTTCTCTCTGGTTGGCTTCATATGTCTCGTTATTTGTATTAGTCCCCATAGGGCAGCTGATATTTTTACCAGGTGCCCTAAAGTAAACTATAGACACAGTTCTTTAAGCCATTTTTACGAGCATGGTCACTTTCCCAGGCCCCAAAAGAGCAAAAACATACTCCAATTAATGGGGCCCAAATGAGCGATTTTTCCCAGGCTCTAAATGAATAAAAAAATATTCCAAGTGGGGCCCCAAACGAGTAAAAACATACTCTAAAAAAGGCCCAAAATGAGTAATTTTTCCAAAATGAAAATAACAAAAAAAAAATCATCATTTTCTACTATAAAATCCCAAGGTCAAATCCAGAATATGGAAATGTGTGCCAGAACCGGCAAGTCATGCTACTGACAAGACTTCCGATTAAAAAGTAATGAACTGTAGCCCTTATTTTACTGTCTTACAGTATATCAATAATCTTGAAATTAAATGGTCATATAGAAGGAAGGTTAATCTCGAGAATCTTAAATTTAAAAAAATCTATCGAGCAGTTTAAAAGTTATTCGCAATTTGATAAAGAAGACCAAAATGTTTACAAAACCGCTAACAAGAGCGCTTCGATACATCCTAATCAAACCCTCTTGCTAGCAGTCGGCTGGAGCTATCTACATGATCTTTCACACACGTTTTTAAAAAGATTGAAAGTACTATGCGGTGAAATTGCATGTCAAAAGCGTTTCATTTTCTACAGCTAACGGCCAAACAACAATATTGTCCATTTTTTACTGTTTCTAACCGTAAAAACTTCATCCCCAAATATCTCGATAACACTCTTACAGATTTTGCTTAAACTTCACGAACATCGAGGGAAAAAGCTCCCGTGAACGATTTCGGAAGAACAGTTCTCAGTGCCGAGATATACTGCTGCAAGTAAAATAGGCAATAGCGTCATTTCGTTGCTATGACAACTCCGATGCCCTTGCAACCATGATCATAACAAATTTTCATCTTTATCTAATACAACTGTGGTGGCAATTTTTCCAAAACTTTGTTTATTGCGACGTAGTTTATGCTCAAACTTGGGAGGTATTGACCATGAAAAACTGTATCAAGCCACCTTAAATCCCCTGAAGAAAGACGGCTTGTCCGTCTGCAATATCAGGAAACCTCGAGTCGCTTTTCTCTCTGCTGTTTTGTAATGTTTGTCTATATTTTTGTCTTGGATAAAACAGCTGTCGTCATTTTATATAAAAAGTTTCAGTCAGGGTACGTAGTACAGGAATTGCTTTGATCTTCTCTCCTTCGAGGAAATGTTTGTAGATCAGTGGTAAATTAATGTTGTACCTGGATATAGGGTCTCAACGGGTTCCAAATAATGAGTTTTTCACACGCAAAGATTGGACCATCCATGATTGGACCCAGGCGGGCCTACGCCATTTTTCAACTTCACTATTTTTGTTGCTATCGGTAACACACCTCCAGCCACGTTTCATTCCTTCCCATCACCCCTTGCAAGCTCAGTTCTATCATGGCGACTTTCTATGTTGTCAGTTTATGTATAGTAGCTTCCTTTCTTTTGCCAGTTTCCACAAAAGGAGCGAAATATAATGATGGACAAAAGGTATTTGGACCAGGCGTTTTTTTCTGTTTTCCAGAAACCAAAATAAACCGCTCTTTTTTTATTTAAAGGTACCTCTATACGTCAACAAAGTTGGACCATATTTCAACCCACAGGAAACCTATCATTTCTATTCGCTACCTGTTTGCCGCCCAGAAAAGGTACATTGAATGCTTTATTTGTTTTTTTCTATTAAAGAACAATCTAACTGCATATCCGTAAGGAGAATATGTTTTCTTTCTCGGGATTTCTGGACGTTGAACGTGAAGATTTCGGCATTTTGATCAGCTGGTAGCTTTAAAATTATTCTGACTTATGCTTAATAAGCTTAAGCGAGCTTTGATTTGTTCCCTGTTTTATAAAAGAATAAATTATTGTTGTATGTTGCTGCTTATATAGACAGGTTGTAGTGGATATTATTTAAACTTATATCTCTCGGTAAAGGCCCATAGAAATATCTATACAGGTACAATATTATTTTTAAGAATCCTTTTGCAAAAAGCTGGTACATTTTATGCCATTTCAAGCTACAACATTTCGCCACCTGGAAAACCCCTGAGCATTAGAATTTTTGAGAAAAGAACTTTCAAATTTTTCTCTCCCCAGCCAAAAAGCTGTTGAAATAAAACCCCATCATAGGTCCATATCAGGTGATCAAATGCCCCCATTCCTGGCAATTTGAGCTATGTACACGTAAATTTCTTATGCTGTTGAAGCCCAGTCTGCAGACAGGTTTCAATAAAAAAATGTAAAAACGTGTTCTGATGATAAATTTTGTCCATGAATTATTGCTGCGGAGCGACTGAAGGGAGCGAGCAGCAACATAATCAGGATTCAAAGGAAATATATAAGGAGCGACGAATTCTTGAACTCATCACTTTTTCCCACAATGCATTGCATTGAACCACACTTTTTACCACAATGCATTGTATTTAGCCAGAGTGCATTGCGCCACGAACAACTCAAATAAAAACACGGGGAAGTTCAGTGGGTGAGAGAGTGCATCGTTCGCTGCTCAGACTTAGAGTTTTCTTTGTGGCAAATTTTCTACAGCACGGTTAGAGGTCTTACCAAATTTTAAGACATGCAGGAGTCTTTCAGATGAGTACGATGGTTAAGATTGGATTTCAATTCAAGAGCCTTTTTTGACTCAAGAGCCTTTTTTGCTCTTCGACTCCGCAACACGGGGGATATACAAATTCCAGCTTGCTAGAAGGTGATGTGAAAGTGAGAAAATGTCATGCAATGCTATTCTTAAGAAACTGTATGAGCCGAAAATGGATGTGATTTTGACCATTCGCTTCAAAGTAACAGCGGAAATTGAGATAACAAAACATACGTTTTGTGTCCTACTTTGCAGATGAGGACGTGTATCGGCATTTTGAAAAGCATAATTATGTTCTTTTTTATTCATTTATTGCCATGGAATAGGCGTTTACATTGTTTTTTCACTGTTAATAGCTCGGTTAATGCGGCTGGCGATCATCTTGCCGGCGAAAGTTTCATGGAAAAGGAATAAAATGAAAGACTTTTCCTAAAGACTACGTAATCAATCTCTGAGGTGTAGTGGTTAACTGTAGTCGCGTCGAGTCGAAGGTGCCGGGTTCGAATCCTACTGAGTTATTTATTCCTTCTTTCTTTTTTTTCCCGTTTTTTGTGTTGTTGTTTTCTATAAATATATAGCTAAATAACTGTTACTTAATAAAGTGCAACAAACAGCAAGAAAAGTATTGTGTTTCCAGAGAAAATATTGTGCACCGTATATTAAATATATGGAGAAACGATCTGAATTTCTATTATTTCCTACAATTTACTGTGGGAAAACCAGAGTTGATAACCACTTGATCATTTTCTAAACAACGTTCCCATGAGTTCTTTCTATCTATATATAGACTGATAGTAATTATTCTAGTACTTTCCAACATGTAAATAGGACATTCAATGTCATTTTTGATTCTTTTAAGTCTCACTGCCTAACTAATGCCAGTATCAACAGAATGTGCCGCAGCATTACTATCTTTTAGATACCCTAGTTATTCCTTTTATCCTAACTACGGTGAAATAATGATCTAATAGACACACTTTTGGCATTTACTTAATGTTAGGGATCCAAGAGGAAGCGTTTAATAGATAGGAGGCATTAAACGTGCTTATACCTCCATCGATCCATTGATGTTAAGTTCATCTTCGATAGTGCATGTTTAGGGTTGTTCAGCTCCGCAAAAATATTCTCCAAATACAAGATGTCGCCCTTCAAGTTGTCTTCTTGCTGTTCTTGCTATGTTTTTAGCTATTATTTCGCCTAGTTCTTACTCTTGAAACGAGTGAAATGTCCGCCATTTTTGTTTCCACAACCAAAACAACTCAACCTCGTCCCCAGGTCTTCTTGGTTAACAGTTCATTAACCTGCAAAAACGCTGCATTTTTGACATCATTTCCTCGCTAAACACAAAATTCTTCCAAATTTGGTCATCAGTAACTGGTTAAGGTGAATTAAATGTGTGCTTTTAGCCAATCAGAATCCGGGAAATATTTTGAATGAATAATAATAAATATTATATTAAGTTCCCCTCCTACCAGGAAGGCAAAGGTGTCAAACCCAGGGGGGTGTTGAAGCTTTCGTTTGACCAATGTATTACAACCTTATAAAATCATTTTTTACATCTTCGTAGGTAGAACATCGCAGTTTAACACTGGGAGAAGTTCTTGATGGTGACAGAATGGCTGTTGCAATGCATGAAATTAAATTCAAAGGTAACATCATTAAATGATTATGACCTAGGCCTATTTTAAAAGGATATGGAGTCATCAGAGCATAGTGGTGCTTATATATATCTTGCCGCCAATTTGCACAAACAGGCTGATTCTAGCAATTGGACATTTTTCATCTTTTTCTTTCTAGATATGCTTATCAACCCCATAATTTCACAAATTTAGTTTTTGTGATGTCATCACTTTTGATATGAATGTTGGTCAATCTTGGGAGATAGAGGCTTCAATTACTATTTCATCTTTATTTCATTTTTCCAGAGCCAGTTGATAGCAAAGAGCTGTGCGTTGTAACACTCAATCAGAAGGAGATTAATCAGCTGAAGGAGGCCATAGAAGATCTCTATTATTTTGAGTTTGTTTTAGGTATGTTTGCTCAGTTGGTTATGAGATGTTGCATTTTTATTTCCCATTAGCATCATGCAAATGCATTCACCATTGTTGGCCAACAACTCTCAACATTGTTGGATGTTGAATGTTGCATCTGTTTGCACACCCTGTTACATTTTGTTACGTGTTGTTGGGAGTTGTTGCCCAAAGTTTTAAACCGGTCATACTTTTGAGCCAACAACTCCCAACACTTCTGTTGTTCCATGATTGCCAAAGTGTAGGGCCACAAATTTAGAACCTTTTGCACAGCTCTTCCAACATCACTAAGGCCACGCACGTGCATTCCACTTGGTCTTCAAGTGGGTGGGTTGGTGTGTTTGACAAATTTTTTTCAGAGATCAGACAAGCAACCAGCTCATTACATGTTTGACATTGAGTGTTGAGAATTAAGTGTCAAATCTTAAGTTTCAAACCCTGAGGACTGAAACTTGAGTGACTGTCAATGTACTTTTGTGCAGTATTTCATGTTATATTGACTCAATTAGTCGTTCCACCATTCACTGACTAAAGACAAAAAGCAAAATCTGTTTCCTAAATTCATTATTATATTGACATCTATGGAAATCACAAAAATGATTTATTTTTCAACGCAGATGATCTTCCTCTGCGAGGCTTCATTGGTCATTTAGAAGAAGGCTCTTTCTTGCCGCATACCCACAAGGTTTTTCTGTGGGCACATTTAAACTTCAACATTGCCTACAATGGTGATCAGGTAATAGAAATATGACAGGGCTTGAGAAAACAAAATTGAATTTCAGCTTGTCCTTTGTGTAGGCAGCTCTCACACTTTGCGTGCCTGGTGCCACTTTTTTCGTTGTTAATGGTTTAGTTCGAGGATGAATTATGGTCTGGTCCCATTGGGCTAGTAAGCTTTAACCTTGAGAAAAGAAGAAATCTCTGAGCCCTGTTTGATTACATTTTGCACATTATCTTTGTGTACTGGGTAGAGTTCCCATCTCAGAGAAAAAAGAAATTGTAAGCAATTACAATGGTGATGGCAGTGAAAAGGATGCTAAGATTCAAATTGAATTTGCATTTTGTCAAACTTTATTCAAACTTATTGCATCTTTTAAACCTACTCCTGGAGATTTTTGCTGGAGTTGAATTTCTAAGGGCTGTATTAAAAAACAAAAGGAGAATTTGTCATGTCTTTACATCCTCCACAAAATATTGCATAAGGAATTTCTTTCCCATAGTGGTCCAGTGGATATCAAGGAAATGCACAATACAGCATGATACACATGCAGAGCTGTTCTTTTGCTCATAAAACCAAGTATTTTTTGATCTTATGATTGCTGTCATCATTGTGGTTTCTCAAGCTCCCTAATCTTTAGTCTGCTACAAACAGATCGAGTAGCAGATTATACTATTGAACAAATAAACATTCAAGATAAATATCTCTGAGCTGCAAAAAATCCACCCAATGTTGGACTTTGCCTCTTTTGCAGTTTGTACATGATAAAAAAATGTAATTTGTTGATAAGATTAATTTGAAGAAATCACCTTTAAGACATCTACTATAAATGCATCCTTCAATAATAAGATTAATAGCCTAACATTTTTTACTTGCATTAAAATTATCAAACTGCCAAAATATGCCCACTTGTGTCCTTTCATTCCACTCAATGAAACATGAAAAAGATGTCTTGAAAAGTGATTATCTGGTTAACTGGCTTCCAATCCTATTCACTTATTTACTTCACTTACCGTTATGTTGAAGTTACACGTCTTTACTAAAGCTACTGGGTTTATTAAAGATGTTTAATTGCTATTATTTATTTATTTTTGTCAGATTATTTCAGTTAATGTGAGTACAACAAACCACCAGCCAGTAGCTCTGGATGATGTAGAACTGCCTTTCAAAGTCCAGTTTACTTATAGTGTAATTTGGAGCTCTACTGAGTAAGTAAGATCCTTCACTGTCTATGTTACCTGGTCAAATTTGTTTTCAGGTTATTTTGATTTAACTAACCTAATATAAATTTGTATCTAAAGTTGATTATCATTTTCCTGTCTCTAAGCGGAAAGCTAGGAGACGAAGGTTACTGCAAATGTGCAAAATAATATTGGTGTATTATTTTATTTTATTATTTTGCCACACAGAATAAATTACAATTAAAATAAAAAAGATAATAAATACGTTAATTAATGTTAAATTTAAAACAGGCATACAACTTGGAAGGGGTGACTGTGGCGGGGAAATCTCCGAGAAGCCGAGCTTATGAGGAATAGAGATTTCCCCAAAGGAATAGAATTTTTTTTATGCAGGCAATATGTGACAATATAGTTACAATACTTTTTATTTTATTTTATTTTTTTTGTAGTACTCTGTACTCAGAGAGGCTCAAGCTAAAAGGATCTGGAACATTTTTTCCAAAGAGTTTGGAGGTAGGGAAATCTCCATTACTCAAATTAATCTCCATCTGGGTCATCAGGCCGAGTGCAAACATCAAACTTCTCATGTACTGAATCTAATCCTTTCAATTAAGTACACGAAAAGACTAGCCTGCGAAAACATCCGTTTCTCCTCGCTCTTCATCACTGAGGACATTTAGCGCGGAGGAACATCTGCGACTTAGCGACAGAAATTCCATACTGATGACGTAAAATCTGTCCAGAATCTGGTCAGAAGCGCTGATTGGTCGACGGAGCAGTTACATTGTTTTAGCTATTGTTTACGAATGACAGACAAAAGACAAAAGGCCAAAAAGGTCAAATGTAAACACGAAGAATCTCTAACAAAACAGTTAATATTTGTGGAATATAGTCTTCTCTAGAAGAAGCATTTGAGTTTTGCTGGAGCTCGTGGGCAGATCAATACAACACTTTACCAAAATCGACCAGAAGACACGCAAAATTAGACAAATTTATATTTGGAACCCCATGACTACCGGATTTATTATGTAAACATTGATTTGTGTCATCAGTATGGAATTTCTGGCACTGAGTCGCAGACGTTCCTCCACGCGAAATGACCTCAGCGACGAAGAGCGAGGAGAAACGGATGTTTTCGCAGGTTACGAAAAGACTAACGTTTGAATCAATTATGAAAGTTCGACATATCTAATTTGGGTGGACCCAAGACTTGAGTTAGAGTGGCACACATGAGAATTTTAAATGAGGAGTGACTTTGTTTCAAATGTCGATCTACCTAGCATAAATTACTATAATTTATTTTCACTGGAAAACATTGTGCACCATGTACATCATTAAAATGAATTGAGTTCAACATCTGAATCAACTGTCTAACTTTTGTCATTCAGTTTGACCAAATAGGTAAATTAAGTTTGGTCCATTAGAAGTTTGATGTTTCAACTTGGCTGTACAGTAAAAACAGAAATCTTAGTTTCAGGTCTGATTTCCACTTTATTGTCAAAAAATTAGAAAAGCATTTTTATTTAATCATTGACTTGATCCAACAATTTGCATGCATTTTATGCTTTTCAGATTCACTGGTTGTCCATTATCAACTCAGTAGTACTTGTGTTTCTGCTCATTGGATTTGTTGTCATTATTCTGGTAAATACATGTAGATCCTTATGATATTATTGTTGGCTTGTACATGTATTGATAGAGAGGATATACATGGCTGTGCCAAGATATGAAATGTCTTTTGGATTGTTGAACAATGTGAATGAGTGAATATTTTTCATCCAAGAACACAAATTTAATATGAACATGTTCTATTTGTTACTTAAACACCAATGAAACTACCACACTATTTTGCCTTTTAATTTTTTCTGTGAAAGGTGTGTTTTTAATGTTACAAAAGCAATGGTGATCTTTTTATGTGTGAGGATATTTTGCAAGGAAAAACCAGTGAGGAAAGCAGTGGTGGCATTGAAAAAGGCTGGCTGTTTTCTCAGGCTACCTGAGGAACTCAGTTTATCTGAGGATTCACTTCAAAGCAACTCTATCACAGCCATGTAGCACTGGAAGGGTAGCAGATCATAGACCTATTCAGCTAACTCAGTGTTGTACCCAATTCAAATCTCCCGGGGTTAAGATTCTTTGTGTATTGTATTTGCAATAATTATAATGTGGCATTCACATTTGAATGATATGGAAATTCCTGAAACAAAACATTTTATTCCCAAAGGGTTTGAATTGGGTAAAACATTGAGTTAGCCAAATAGGTCTATAGATATGGATTTGCAGGGCTCTAAAAACTTGAATTCCAGCATGTAATAATAATAATAATAATAATAATAATACTATTATTATTATTATTATTAATAGTATGTTGTTTTTTTCTGTAGATGAGAGTACTAAAGAGTGACTTTGCAAAATACAATGTATCTGATGATGATGAATTATTGGATGACCTCGGTATGTCTGGATTATGTAAGTTTAGCCTGTGTAGCATTCCTTTCGAATTTGTAACACTGAACTTATGCAACAGAATCTGAATGGGGAAGATAGAACCTTAATCATACAGCACAACATTTTAATAACCAAGTTGTAACACTTTCTAATGACTCCTGCTCTTAATTCCCACAAGATCTTATGAGTTCTATGTTGTTGTATAAGTTCACTTACAGCAAAGTGCACGTAAACACCTGTGGCAGAAGATCAAGTGAACATTATATATTTGTTGGCTAAAAATGAAGTGGTGTCTGGATCAACAAAGCTTTTAATGTTTTTGCACCAGCTTCTAGATTCTTCTCCCAAAATGTTCTTGTGGTTTCATGTGAGACAGGGGGAGAATTAATTTTGACATAGTATTTAAAGTAACTTAGGTTCTTTTCCACTCACTTCTTTCAGTTTTTAAGTTCACAGCATAATGTTTTATTTTTTAAAGTTTGCTCACGGGTATTTTCTTCGATGCTGCTCTGTTTATGCCACAGGGTTTTGCGAGCCTTTTGCACCTTTGGAAGGGATGTAGATGCCTCATAGGCTAATGATACATAATGATAATGATAATGATAATGATAAATCCATTACTTAATATATAGCCAGCCCGGCTCGTACCTTGTTTTCTTTAAAATTGTCAATGTGTTATTATGTCATTGTGCTAAGGTGGGCTGGTCCACTTGTTGAGATCTTGCTTCGAGCAACCAAGATCTCACCCTGTCAAGTAATTAAATTACAGTGTCACTTTAGGCATGAGCCAAGACTTTGATATGAGGTAAAACCTTGCGACTGTCCAGACAACTTTCTGCTATGATCAAGAAAACTAAGATACAATAAATAATAATGGGTTCTGTTTTCACTGGACAATTTTAACTTCAATAAAGCCGGAAATGTCCGGAAATACAGTGAATACACCTCATCTTGGTTTTAGCTAGTTAAAAATGCAAGCTGTTTTCACAAGCAAAAATAAGGGGTTTTCTTGCCTTTATGAGCAGAAATTCACGCAGAGTTATACTACCTCATGAGATGGTATCACTTGTCCTGATAAACACCGCAGCCAATCAGGTCATGCGTAGTGACAGACACCTGCCAAATAATCTGGTAACATTATTTTCCAGGCAATTGCCTCGTGGTTGAGCTTGAGAAATTCAACATGGCAAACAATTCCAACAGTCATTTTGATTATTTTAATGATTTTTACCACCAAAACAATAAACGTGTTTAATTTGATTCTTGGCCTATTTTCTTGGCCTTGGATTGTTGTACGACACGGAAAGCGAGTGGCAATTTGTATTTTGTGTACAGCAGTACAGTTTTATAAATAAGCTGTTTAAGTTACACAGAATGCCAACATCATTACTTTAAAATAATGTACCATACATAATGAACCATTTTTTTATAATGTTTCTCCTGCTTTCTCTATGCAAGCAGTTGGCTTGTCCACCTTAAGGAGGAATGCTTTTGATGCTTACTTTACCTTTTGTGTCTCCACAATAATTTATCACAATGTAGGTAGCTTTAGCAATGACAACAGTGACAGCAGCAAAAACGTTGCTATATAATTAAAAAGTCTTTGGGTTTTTTCAAAGTTAGTTGTGA